TGGGCGGGGTAAAAATAAAATTTATTATTATTATTATTATTTATTATTCTGGGTCTGTATCCAGGGCGAAATTGTGAAGATAAAGATGGTCATACAATGCACTTGTCATTGCTTGATGTATTTGTCATTCCATTGCTAATGTCTAAAGCAGCAGTCAGAACTCCTAGCCACTTGGAGTCACTACTACCTATTTTTTAAAAAAGAACTTTCTTTAAAGGTATATCATCATCATCATCATCATCATCTTGCTTTCTCCTAAAATTGGGACTCAAAGTGGCTCACAATTTAAAAGAACTATACTATTAAAAATGCTTACTGTGCTATTGGGACAAAGAGAAGGGCCTCTCCTGGGGATCTCAGAGCCAGAACCAGTTCATTCAGGGAAATATAGTCTGCCAAATACAGCTTGTACAATTTGTTGACATGCAGGGTTCCTATAAGTACAGAGAACCATAATCTGGCCTGCGTGGTAGTCTGGGAGGTATGGAGGTGTTCAGTTGAGGATGCAGAAACAACACATTCCTTCAGCTTCTGTAGCTCTGTTCCAGAGAAGGATATTAACACAAGTCTACATTAAGGATTCTTCCTAAAACACATAAAAGGAATACTTCATCATGCATGCTGGTCCCTATTCCTGCCTATACTTTTTTTTTTTCCAGTGCAAACCTCCCTGGATTAAGCAGTGAGACCTGGCTATTGGTCCATTTATGGGTAGAATTCAAAATGCTTGTTTTGACCTTTAGGGCCCTACACAGCTTGTGTCCAGCCTATTCAATTGGCTGTATCTCGTTATATAAACCAGGCTGTGCATTGAGATCTGCAGGGGAAGGCTTTCTCGCAGTCCCACTATCCTCGCTGACATGGCTTGTGTGTGCCTGTGGCTGCTTCCAGGCTGTGGAACTCACTTCCATGGAAAATCTCATTGGCCCCCTCCCTTCTGTCTCTCCACCAGCAGGTAAAGGTGTCAAGACCATGTGGCACCCTGGTCTAGAAAATGACTTGGATGTGACCACTGAAAGGAACTGGAGCAATGGTAATAGGGTTACTACAGTTCAAGTGGCAGGTGCATGAGTCAGCATTTGGTGAGCTGTGCATCATGGGAAGCCTGATGCAACGTGCACAGTGGATGGGACAAGCCAGGTATGCATCATGGGAGGTCTGATGCAACAGTCCTAATGCAACAGGCACTGGGCTGAAACTAGTCAGGTTTCATTAGTGCATGGCTGTCACATGTTCTCAAGAGGACCACTTATATATGGGAGGGAGTCAGAATCTCCATTGGTTAGTTGTGGTTAGTGGTTGGTGAAGCACTTTGTTACTCTGTATAACTGTGAGTATTCAAGACGGACGTCTAGTACCCTGTATATCTTTGTAAATATTTGCAACAAAGATTAAAGCCCTCTCTGAGAGAAGCCTCACTATGAAGCTATTCATTTCTCAGCAAGCTGAGTGTGGGAGGTTTTTTCCTGTGCCTTCTGGAGCAGACTCTTCAAAGAAGACCAGCTTCTGGGTGTTCCTGCCTACATGCATCTACTCTGCATGTGTGTATGCTAGATCCTGCTGTCTGCATACCCCAACATGGGTTATGAGCCAAGTGTGCATGTAGACAATGCCTGAGTGGTTGTGAGAGTTCCAGAATTGCCACTGGTGCTGCTGGATCTACAGAGGGGAAAGACAAAGTCCTGGAACTGTTAGGTGGATTAGTAACTGGTTTATCAATGAATGTTGGTGATAGTAATGTTATGAATCCATCCTTAGGATTAGCATAGAACTTGCATTTCTGGCATTCTAGAATTTGCCAAAGATTCTGTGGTCTCTCTCCCATGAATTTGAGGAAGGACTTCTTTGGTGACATACCATACGAGGGTAATTTACCCATCAAATTGGAAAATAGTGTAATATAAAATTGGTGTCCTTCAGGAGACATATATTTCATACTATTATTCTGATCAATTGGGATTGCAATGTAGGTTGACAATTGGGCTAAGCAGACAGGTGGCCATGGGCTGCCCCGGGAAGCTGCGCCGCAGGGCCAAGGTATCCCTACACCTTGGCCCCGTGGCGCAGCTTTGCCACCCCTGGAAGGAACGCTAAAATAGCGCTCCTTCCACAAGTCGGCAAAGATGTGCTGCAAAAGGCTGGTGGCGCACCTTTGGCGACTCTTCCGCCGCAGCATTTGTGCATGCAGCGGCGGGAAGTCATTGTCCGAGCGCCAGCTGTGCAGAGGGGCCGGGGCTCTGACGATGACTTTGGGAAGGGGTTGGGGCACCCACCATGCAGCTGCCTCTCCCCTTGCTTGCCCCCAAGATGGCCCTTTTAGCCGTCTGCTTCCCCCCAGAGTTACTGTTCTATGTCAGTGTGCCAGGATTGCTCCTAACCAGAACAAGAAAACTGTTGTCCCTGCCACCATCCTCATGGGGGATATTGAATACTAATTGTTCCTGGTCCCTGAAAAATGTTGCATACATTAAAAAGGGAAGGGGGACTTTATTTCATTTTCTAATCTCAGTATTCAAGAAAGGCTGCAGCTTGAGTTTAGTTTAAGTATTTTTACAAAATGGAGGGAAGGGCTACCTTTTCCCTTTGGCTTTCATGCACATTTTCTACCTTTCTTTTTCTGGTTGTCTTTTAAAAATAATAATAGTAATGTTATCTCTTTCCATCAGTGTCACTGTAAATTAAAATTAGTCTTTCACTTTACAATGGTGAGGTCATTATAATGCAACTCTGTTTTCTATTGATTACATTTGAGCTGCATTTACTTAATGTGTCATAGGGGCCTTTCTAAACATTATTTTCAGTAGTGAACAGTAGGCAGATTTGAGGGGGGGGGAAACAAAGGCTGGATTTAGTTTGACACATTTCACTCAAAGAGACTGAATTATATGGAACTAAATGGAATGAATGAGTCTCTTCATCAGTTGTGTGAAAACAACTGAGAACCTACAGCACAACTGGAATTTCATCTGCTGGTACTCTTGTACAAACTCCTTCCATAACATATAAACATACATCAGTTTCTTGCACACTGCAGTAAATGATATAGGCAGGATAAAAACAAAATAAAGATAGATAGAAAATTGAGTGAGAAAATCAGCTTTTGCTGGCTCTTCCTGGGGCAGGAGGAGTTTGCAATCATCAAACTGCCCAGAATAGTATGTTTATGGGCTGTTGATACCAAGGTGATAATGAGTTTTCTCCCAATTCTGTAGCAACACCTACCCTCCCACCATTGTTATTTGATTTAAATGAAACCAAGAGCATAAGGCTGTTTGTTGTAGTGTTCCCCCCCCCCCATGAGAAGGTCTAAGAATATTCACATGATCTGCTCAAGGAAGATGTGATTGAAAAGCTTAATGCATGCTCTAGTTCTCTTCATTTTAGGGGGTTGCAGACTGCCAGAAATAGTGCAAATTGAATCAATTTTTAGGGTTAGGGAATCATGAGAACTGTTGTTTATTGTAGCACCAGAGCTCTCTGACAGAGAAGGCTCAATGTCTCAGAAAAAAATTTCCATGATTCCCTAGCACTAACCCTAACCCTAAAAGTAAACTCAATTTTCACTATTTCTGGCAGTCTGTAACCCCCCCTTAGTCACTCATGGGTCATGGAATGTAAAATGATATGCTGGAGAGCAAAGGAGCCTCCAGATGTTGCAGGGCTTCCATTCCTAATCATTCCTAATCAGGTTGTCACATACTGACAGGGGTAGTATTATACTCTTTTTTATCAGTAACTCAAAATCTGGATAGATTTAGAAACTGCATAGTAAAAAACCATTCAAATAATGCACACATTGAAATTTAGAACACCATCCTACAATAGCAAGCTATTGCCCCAATGCAAATACTTGCCACCTTGGCTGTAATCTCTGACCACTGATCAGCCAGGAGGTAATCAATATAAAATGTGACAGTTTTTCCTGATATTTTTTGTTAAATTTGGGCTATAAAACAGCACTGGAGATCACAGTAAAAAGTACAAAACAATAAAATGTGTCCCATAAGGACATAGGTGTTCACAGAGCAGTACTGACGCTACCCTCTCCCACCAGTTTCATTTAGATATTAAAAAGCATTGGGGATAGAATGGTCCCTTGTGATATGCCATATAGCAACTCCTTTTTTGAGGAGCAACTATCCCCATTTTTGGAGGATTTCTGCATGCAAATATTATTTTCTGTGTAGAAAATGTTGTTTTTGTTGAAAAAAAAGTGCCACATGCAATTTTTGTGCAGAATACTTATGAACAGCTATTTTTTAAAATACACAATTTTCAAATACTTTCTCATGGTGAAAATAAAATTGTTAATATTACTTGCTGATTCCTTCAAGAAGAAAATGAGAAAAAAAAATTGCATCCCTACTCATACATAAGCTAAAATAGATAACCAGGTTGAAGTGTGACTTTTTTTTTTACTATTCCTTGTTTTCTATTCAAGAAAGGGCTCACATTTCCCAAACCAAACCATAGATTATCAGCAGGAAGCGACTACACAGATGTTACCTGTGATGATATGTTCAGAGTTATGTCGTGGATGTATGCATGTTCAGAATGGGAAAAAGACAGATGCAAAAACTATGGGGATAATGAAAAGATGAGAAATAGAGATCTTCTGTTCCTAAATAAATTGAATTAAATTCCATACCATAATCAGTTGAACTAAAATGCAATATCATTTAAATGAGGTGAAAGCTTAAGATCAACATGTATCCAAACAAGATAATCTTCTTGTGTGTGTTCAAATGTCGAAGAGGATATTTTAAATAAATTTGTAAACTTTTTTTGCGGATAGATTTCAGTGTGTCTTTGAGCCATAATTTTAGATAGTAGGTTAAGTTAGTCTTCTC